ATAAATCTACTTAGATAATTGTTACATATTTTTTCACAATATATTATATTATTCTATTGAACTATGTTGTATGATATCGTATGAATATATTATTTCGATATATTGTATTATTCTTTATTATTATATAATATCACACATTAACAATTAAAATATTGCGCGCAAGGCATGATTGGGAGGGAGGTGAGTCTCTCACGTTGGAGAGCATATCAAATTCAATCTAAGTCGGTTATTCAATCATATGAGCTCATCACATGCAGTTTGCTACAAATTACTCGCTCGTCATAGAGTGCTTATCTATAAGTCAAAAATTGTGAGTTGCTTAGGTCACAAATTATAGGTTATTATCTAACTATGCATTAACAATTCGAACAAATATAATATTTACCTAATAATACAATATATAAGATGCAAATGATATACGAAAATGACGAAGTTGCTTCCCCGAAAAAATACATTATACTAAAGTATGAAATAATTTAACGACAAGGCTACAATATTTGGTCAAACAAATTAGTTATTTATAATATTTGGGAAAAAAGATGAAAGAGTGTCCGTTGTGAAGACATTTTTCATTCTTCTTTATTTTTCTCTTCATCTTCTTTGTTGTCTCTTCACTTTTCACCATTGTTGAGAGTACTCAAAGCTTCTTCACAAATTCTCACAGTATATTTCACTCTCTTTCTCTGATTTGCAGAACATGAGCAAAGTGCGCAGCATTGCACATTACCACCTGGTATGAATCCCACCACTGCGGACCCAACACAGCCACCGCCACTTCCACCGCCGCAGCCACCTCGTTCTTCTTTCAGTTGTGACAGACACCCAGATGAAGATTTCACCGGATTCTGTCCAGAATGCCTCTGTGAACGCCTCACCACCTTAGATCAGACTGCAGCTAGTAGTAACAATCCTTCTTCTTCTTCACGTCGACCTTCTACTTCATCTGCTTCTGCTATTAAAGCCCTTTTCTCTAAAACTTCTACTTTTTCTACTTTTAACCAGAAGCATCCTCCTCTTCCTCCTAAACCCTCTAAACCCACTTCATTTTTCCCTGAACTTCGCCGGACTAAGTCGTTTTCAGCTTCTAAAAACGAAGCTTTGAGCTATTTGGGTGGTTCTGGTTTTGAACCCCAACGTAAGTCTTGTGACGTTCGAGTTCGTAATACACTTTGGTCCTTATTTTCCCTCGACGGAGAGGCTAAAAACCCTCATTCTGAGGATACTGGTGATGCATTTGTGAATAGGCCTGTTATTGAGTTAAAAGAAGAAGAGGAAGAGTCACCAGAAAACGATCAAATCAGCCATATAGGTAACGGAGATGTGGTAAATGAAATAACTGAAGAGTCCCCTGTGGAGAACAGTTTTTGCAGAGAGGTTGATTCAGAAATTGTTGAAGAAGAGCTGGTGAATGGGGATATATTGAAGCCGATGAAAGATCATATAGATCTCGATTCGCAGGTGAAAAAGCCTTCAGGTGGAAGGGACTTGAAGGAGATTGCAGGAAGCTTCTTGTCTGCTGCATCAGTTTTCAGCAAGAAATGGCACAATTGGAGGCGAAAACAGAAGGTGAAAAAACGAAACAATTGTGAGAACTCATCTACACTGTCATTGGAGAAGCCCATTTCAAGGAAATTCAGGGATACTCAGTCTGAGATTGCTGATTATGGGTTTGGGAGGAGGTCTTGTGACACTGAACCCCGATTCTCTCTCGATATTGGGAGGATTAGTATTGATGATCCAAGGTACTCCTTTGATGAGCCTCGAGCTTCTTGTGATGTCCACTTCATGGGAAGGAGCATTCCCAGAGTTCCGCCTATGGTTTCAGTGATAGAAGATGCACCAGTAGTGCATGTCCAAAGGGCGGATGACCAAATTCCGGTTGAAGAGTCGCCTGTTTCAGCGAATTGTATCGGTGAGGAAACTGATTTGCCTGGAGGGTCTGCTCAAACAAGGGACTATTACTTGGATTCGTCTTCGAGGCGAAGGAAGAGTCTTGATAGATCTAACTCAATTAGGAAAACAGCAGCTGCTGTAGTGGCAGAGATTGATGAGATGAAGGCAGTGTCTAATGCTAAAGTTCAGCCTGAGAGGGATTTGAATTCGATTTCCAATTCCAATTCTTTAAGGGATGATTTCTCGGAGACTTTTGAATTGACAGGGTTCAAGGATACGGCTTCTGGGATTGGAAATGGGGAACGAAAGGGATCGAAAAAGTCGAAGAAGTGGGCCTGGAATATATGGGGATTTATACATAGGAAAGGTAATGGAAACAAAGATGAAGAAGATGACAGGTACAGTAGATCAAATGGAGTGGAGAGGTCATTTTCAGGATCTTGGCAAGACATGAGGAGGGAGACTAATGGTGATTTAAAAGGGAGTCTTAATAGGAATATGTTTAGGAGTAATAGCAGTGTTAGTTGGAGAAATTCGACTAATATTGGTGGATCGTTTGGAACTGTGAGGAATCTTGGCATTGATACTAATGGCAATGGTAAAAAGAAAGACGATTTCGTGTTGGAGAGGAACCGGAGTGCAAGGTATTCGCCTAATCATATCGATAATGGGTTCTTGCGGTTCCATTTTGCTCCCATGAGAGGCAGCCGGAGAAGTTTACCTGCACAAAGTAGGCCAAATGGGAGGAGCGTACTTCGCCTGTACTGAAATTCAAGGTCCTTGGTGTTTCTTTCGTTTAATTGTTAATTTTGTCGCATTTGTTATAAAATTACTTGTGTCATTGTATTTGTTGACTATGCATTTGTCATAAGAATGCTTCTTGGACTTGTTCTAATATATTTGACATGAAGAAGAAGTCTTCTTGATATTAATCTGATTATCTTTCTCATTTCATTCTCAATGAATTAGCTTTATGTCATAAGTTGAGTTGGATTATTGTATCTGTACATGCTTGTTATGGAGTTGGTAATCTTACTTCTTGTGGTTTACTTCATTTTCTATGTTTGTTTAGTTTGTTCATCTTACCTCCTTAAATCCATATTCAACTGTATATTCCATGTTCCTTTTTATCAATAGTTCCAAAAGGGAACAATGGTAACATAACTGTCATATTTGGTTAGTATGAACTATGATAGTTAAGGATCTATAATCGCACGTGTACTAGTTTCATGGTGTGCTTTAGTTATCGTCTTATCTTTGTTTTCTAAATTTCATGTTTGATCCTTTCTCCACATGTTTAACAGCTAGGATATGGTAGTTTCGCTTGTGAAGATATTCCTATACTAGTTGTTTTATCTTGAAACTTGTACATAAAAACCTGAGGATCCGCCCCCGTGAGTATATCAACTACACTCAGAAGCAAAAACTGATTTAACTGTCTTAAAAATGACCTGAATTTGCAAAACTAATCAGCTAACTTATTGAGATTTGGGAGCACGGAACTCCTACCTATTTGGAGGTGTTACGTTGATCATTGTGATTCTGCCTAATACGAGTGTCATACTTACTCAGTCTCTAGATTACCTGGATACCAGCCTTCCCTTTACAGTAGTGATTTCATGATTGTTGCATCTTGAGTTCATTATTATGTGTTAGTCGTTGTCGATAAATAGTAGTTCTTGTCAAGGAAACAAAACATAGTGGATCATCCACCCAAAAAAGAAAGAAGAACAATTATGTTGTCGATCAAATGAACTGATAATTCTTTTGACTTTATTAGTTTCTGTGTTCTTTTAGAAACAAAGTTTTATAGTTTCCTGTTGCTATCTCATTGGAACTGATCCTTAATTTGTTTCCTCATTTCATTTCCTTTTAATCCAGGAACGCGATTTAAGGCTTTAGACATGCTGCAAGTTGTTCATTTCTTGGTAACAACAGTGATAATGAAGTCAGTTCCTGTATTAGGTTTTCACATGGTGTTGTTGGTTAGAGGCTCTTATCGTAATTCAGTCAGATAAGGTTGGAAGTAAATCCAGCTTCCCTGGGACAACTGAACTTACCGGAGGGCATTGGATTGCAAAGATGCCAAATAATCAGACTGGTTATGGATTGAGTTGAAAAAAACTGAATCTTTCTTCCTTCAACTGTAGCACATACGTAAATTTTTTTACTGAATCGGTATATGTTGTACAATGTCTTCATGGTTCAGAAGTACGCGTTTTGGTCCTGGGGATATATATTTTATATAGATTTACACCTTATTATTACTTGCTTGATTGGGGTCTGTAACTCTCTATCTTTCAATGTGTTGTTGGTTTAGTATAAAAGTGACAAATTGCACTTGAAAAGTCTTGCTAGTAAGTACTATTTTTCATCTTAGATGATCATTTATCTTGAATAGGCTCTCTCTTGAGCATATGATTATTTTGAAGCCTTAAAAGGCTTTTCTCTTGTTCTTCATCCCAATAAAAAGATGCAATCTTTCATAATCATTTGGGTCAATGGTGAGGCTATAATGCTAAAGTGTGGTGCTAACGATTTAATAACTATCTCCGTAGCCCCAGAATGTTTCAGTTTATGCTCCTACCTATTATCTGGATATACCAAGAAAGTGAGGCTATAATGCTTAAGTCCCTAACAGATCTCCTACAGACACTCACTAAACCATGAAAACTCCTTATATCACCAACGGACTTGGCGGATAGGGGATAGAGATTTCAGTCTCGATCTCAGGGTATGAAAAATGTCTTTGGTAGGAGTTTTACAATGTGAATCTGAATTAATCAGATTACGTATTGTTACAATCTGCACTCCACAATATTATAATGTTGAATTAGGTAAATATGTTGATTACATTAGCTCTATGTTTATTATTTAGAGAACATATAATGGAAAAAGTAATGATTATATGTCACATAGTATGATGTGTTTTCCTCTTCTTAATGGGAAATCAACAAGAAAAAGTGTCAATGATCAACATATGCTTTTACCCTTTAAAGTCAAAAAGTAACAAATTTAAAGAACAAATACTTTTACATGCCTTACTCATTCAATTCAATAGTACTTAGTCAATACTAAGAAAAGATTGAGAAAAAAAAGTAGTAGTAACAAGGATAGGCTCGAAATCCTATGGAATAACATGTTCACTTTTATACCCATTAAACCTTCTCTTTAGTGGAAATGGTTGGCAAAGATTTTCTTGAAAACATTTGGGATTTGCCCCTCTTTTTCACCAGTCAGCCAATAGGGATGTTGTACTATGTACTGTATGCCTATGGGTCTATATTATATACGCTTAGCGTTATGTTATAAGTTATATTTTGATGCGTAACTTCATTTTTTAACTAAAATTCCATCAAATAAGTATTATGTTCGATAATGACTCTAACTTTGAGTTATACGTACCAAGTAAACATTACGAATATTTTGTATTCTAGTAACGTGATTAATGATTATTATATTATGGAGAATAGTGAAAGTTGTTACTAATAATAGAGTCAGGATTCAACGTATATAATATATATAAAAAGTAATTTTAATCATTTATGAATAATGTAATTTTTCGTTGAAGGGTTGGATGTACCCCTGGCCCCAAGCTAGCACTGCCCCTGGACTTGTTGGGCTGGATATGGGGGAGTAGAAGCCTGATGTTTGTAGTTGTATGTGTCCATTTGAATAATGCTCTAAAGATGTTTGATGAAGTGTTTGAATGAAAGTTTCTTCCAAATATGGAAAGTTTTAAGTATTTTAATCCATGGACCATGAGTTTTGGCAGCTATTAATAAGGGTGTCACATTTGTTGGTTTGTATGATGAGAGATGCATTGGTTCATGTGGGGAATTTCGGGATGTGACGGAAAAACATGAGCGGAAAATGGATATGTTTGCTTGTAGTTCCATGATTTGTTTGTGGGTGAACAGGCAATGTTTATTCAAGGAAATAATTGAGAATGTTATTACTTGATGTTGTGGTTTATGATGCATACTCAATGGTTGTTGAAATAAGGTTGGAAAGATTTAAGTGTTTCAAGATTGCAGCAGTTGACGGGCTGTGTGAGAATGGATGTCTGAACAAGTCTGTAACTTTGTTTGGATTTTGAAATGATGGAGGAGAAATGGATACTTTAGCATATACGTCTAGTTAATGTAGGTTATGCAGATATGGAAAAATGAATGATTTGATGTCAAACAGGGAACTACACGATATTCTCAACTTACAATACCTTTTCAATGGCTTTGTCAAAGCCTTTGAAATTGAGGATGCTAACAGGTTTTTGGTGAAATGAACACTTATTAAAGCTATCAGGTGATTTTCTTTTTGCAGGTAAGAAGCTTTCAGGTTCTAAATTCAGTCTTTGTTCTTTATTAACCTCGGTTTGCTTTCTCTAAAGTTGATTTTGGGAATTCACAATGTTGTAGGAGCAAGATTGCTTCTTGGTGCAGGATTGCCATTTAATACTTACTATGAAGGAAAATTTGTTCCACAATACCATGCTTCCTGCTTTGAACCGTAAAATAAAGCTCTTTTCACCTCAGGTGATTATATCTTATTATCATTAGCATGCCAGGCTATATTGGGTAAAAGTTATACTGTAACAATCATGCATGGGTTATTCTGTTGTGTGCATCTTGGTTTTCTACGAACATTCCTCGATTCTCTTTTTTTTTTTACAAGTTCGCTAGAGTATCCTTGATATTTCTCTGTGCTTGACACTTCCCCTGAAAGACGGGTTTAAGGATGTTAAATGGACCTAGCCAGTGCACCAGATATTATGATCTCATGTCTACTGATTTTTTACTATAATATGCCTCCTATTGATGCCTTTTGTAGTAGTACAAGTTTATCCAAGTGTGTAGTTATGAGAGGAACAGTAAAGGGAACACAAAATTTAATTAACAGTATTGGACTTTTTATGTGAATGACATGATAATAATAGTAGTAAATGTACTGTATTTGAATTTCCTTTAACAACTGCAATAATTCGGAAAACCGGAAAGGATCCCTGATCTAGACGACCTAATCATCGGTCTGATGGAATAGTATATTTGACGTGCCAAGAATAATGCCAGGGAGCTAATTAGTTTTGTTTTCTTATGGACAGATGTATTCTGTTCTGATTATTGATACACCCCGAGTATTTCGAATAAGAATCTTTGCATCAATTGAAACTATTTCCTCTTAGATTTTGAGAAATCTGAGGTCCTACAACTTCTATATTCTCTAGAATTCAGAAAGTATCGTTCCTTTGATCGACATAAAGCAACCGATACATATCCAACGTTGGCGGCTACGGTGGTGTCACCAAATTTGCATGATGCATGATAAATTTTGGCATGATATATGAGCCTTGAGTAATACAATTATAGTTGAGGTTATAACTCATGCGACAATACTAGTTGTTTTCTGTAAAAGAGATAGGATTTTACTTTTTGTTTTCTTTTGATTTCTGTTTTCCCTCCAGGTCTGTTTCTGATAAAACACTCTGCTCATAGATGACTTGAGAAAGCAAACACACCAAAATAATCCCAAGAACTGCACCTTTTCTCCAGTCAGACGACGAAGAGATGAAAACATCTGCAATTCCAACTACAACAAGGCCTATAAATGCAAGGTAAACAGTCCTTCTAGTCGTCGATCCAGCATTTTCTCTACTAAGTTGCTTAATCTTCTCCATCTCCTCCTTAGCTTTTGCTTTGTCCACGGCCACGATTCGTCTTTGCCTTAAGTTCTTAAAGAAAAGCCATTCATTTCTTTCCTCCTCCATTTGGCCTTCAAAATCTGTTAACTTTTTTTCATTTCTTTCCTCCTCCATTTGGCCTTCAAAATCTGTTAACTTTTTTTCATTCTCTTCTATCTCTTGTTTGTTCAACCCCACTGATTCTTCAAAAGCTTGCATTTGGTTCTCTATATTCACCATTATCTGCTCCACAAACAAAACCAAAATAAATAAATAACTATGTTAATATTCAGATATGAAATCCAAACTCTGTATATCGTCACTCAACTAATAGTTATTATCTCAGAAAAGTCACTTTCACTGTTAAAAATGTGACTATTAGTTAAGTGACCATATGAGAAATTAACTCATTAACGGACCCTTGCACCAGCTTCATCTAGTTCTTTAAGGGCATTTTCACCAATCTGTTCCATTTCACAATTGGCTTCTTCAGCAAACTGTGTTAGATATGCAGATCTTTCATCTAAGTATTCGGTTAGACGAACTTTCTGTGTTTGAAGCTGAACAATTGTGGCAAGCAATTCTTGTTTACGCGTATCTCCTTTACCATCTGAATCTGAATTTCTTGAGTACTTGCATAAGGAAATGAAGGTCTTTTTCCTCCTAAACAAACTTGTTCTATTAAAAGAAGCTTGTTGTGTAGGTGTTAAAGAGGAATGAATAGATTTTACATGGATCATTTTCTATGAATTTTGCACAAGTTTAGGTTAGGAAGATGAGTGTTGAGAGCTAAAGATTAGTAACTATGAGAGGGATGCAATGGAAGAACTTTTGAACCTCTAATTAGAACTACATTATCCATTTCATTTTTTTTGAGAAAGAGGTCATTATTTTTGGGTGGTCCTTACGGGACTTAAAAGAAGTTATTGTATTGTTTTTTAATGATATGACTTTCCGATGATTTTCTTGTAAAAATTTTATGAATCCTTCGTAGGGAATAGAGATTTTTTTAGTTTTTCGTGTGTGTAAACCTATGAATATTGGTTATATGACTATTTTAAAAATGATTATTTTTTAAGAATTATACCATCTCAATTTTTTGGATTTTATAATACATAAATTGGTACATTTTAATAAATAATTACTGATTTTAGCAATATTTTTTATTTATTACCATTTATAGCAACATTATGTTAAATATGCAATATGGATTAAAAGTGAATTTTGTATGCAATATATATGAATTATAATTGTTGTTTTTTTAAATATATTATGTTTGTTTGGTAAAAATTTGACACATTTTATAATAATTGTATTAAAATGTGTGATAAATGTATTATCCACCATTAAAACTTGTATATTATGTGAATGATAAATTGTTCTTTGTAATATGTATTAAACTTGTATTATAAATGAATTAAAACTGATCAAGTGAAAAAAATATATTATTGCTATAAATGGTAAATATTTTTTTATTATAGTATATTTATGTAAGTTTCCCTAATCAAAATTAGATTTTTTTAAACCATCCCAATTATATTGGTTTTTCTTTGGTACCGGTACGATTCGATTAATTTCGTTTTTTCTTTACTTTTAAAATATCTCTCGACATATACTACTATTAAAATAATCCTTTCACAAACATGTTCTTGAAGAAGAACTTTGATTCTTCACCAAGAAGACAAAGAATGTTAAACTTTGTTGTCGTATTGTTTGGTTTTAAATTTTTAAGGGAAACTTATATAAATATAGTATAATAAAAAAATATTTACCATTTATAGCAATAATATATTTTTTTCACTTGATCAGTTTTAATTCATTTATAATACATGTTTAATACATATTACAAAGAACAATTTATCATTCACATATAATACAAGTTTTAATGGTGGATAATACATTTATCACACATTTTCATACAATTATAATAAAATGTGTCAAATTTTTACCAAAACAAACATAATATATTTTAAAAAAACAATTATAATTCATATATATTGCATAAAAAATTCACTTTTAATTCAAATTGCATATTTAACATAATATTGCTATAAATGGTAATAAATAAAAAGTATTGTTAAAATCAGTAATTATTTATTAAAATGTACCAATTTATGTAATTTTTTCAACTTTTAATAAGAGTGTTTGCATAGATTCTGCTATATTATTTGATAGAGTATCTATTACATTATCTTTTAATTTTAAGCCTAATTAAGTACATACTAATTAAAAAGCAAAGACCCAAAGTCGTGTAGTCACCAAAGGCCTAGGACCTATGTTATATTTATATTTGAAAAATATTATAAAATATACTTATATATTAAATTTAACATATTGTTAATGTATAAAATATATTTACATCATGTAAGGTTATTCGTTTGGGAATTTTTAGGGTTTTTTCATAAATTAAAAAGACTATTTCAATTATTTAAGACGATTATACACTTTAATAAAAGTTCACAATTTTATTGAAAAAGTAACATAATATTCGATTTGATCTTCTTTTCATATTAATTACACCATATATATTTTACATATATGATGTGCTTAAGTTTTAATTCAGGTCGTTACGCTTCACTAAAAATATTATATCACTTGACATATAATCTCATCATTAGTTTCCATTACCAATTGAATTAACTTTATTTTAGGCAAAATATATATGATATGTTATATGCTAATTTCCAACAACATAGTTGTATTATAGTTGCTTTCATTAAGAACTTGGTCTGGATAAATTAGGTATTAGAAGGGCAAAGTGCACTAATACTCAATTTTGACATTGTCATTTAATTTATATTTTCTTTTAATTTCCTTTTACGTGTCTATTTATTCAATATATATAGTTTCAGGTACGTGATATCTTAAGTTAATCTTAAAGTTCATTTGTGCCTCACTTCTGTTATTTTTGCTCGAATTTACTAGTCATATATATGCGTGAACTTCAAATAAAAATGACGAAAATAAAAAAAAAATTGAACTTCAATCATATGTGACTTTAGACTATTTTACAAAATACTGAAAATATATTATATCTGAGTCCAAGAAATTCTTGAGTGTTAGAAACTAAGTGCGCTCGAGCTGAATATTAGTTATACAAAGGTCATAACTACTAATTATCTCCCTTTTCTTTTTTATTATATATTTCTTTTTCACATTATTGTACAAACAAATATAAAAACATGAAATATATCGTGTATTCCCGTTATTATTATTTTTCCTTATAATTACTTTGAGATGGGGGAGATAGATAAGGCATGAGCGAAAATACTCAGTAATGTTTGAATTCAATAATTTAATCTAAACTGTGTTATTATATCTACCATAAATATAATTATCATATGACAACTCAAATAGTCAAATTCAATAGTATCTCGAATACATGAATATGCCTCCGCAGACGTATACGTATCTACACGTGAGTGAGTGTGGGTGGGTGGTTGACAATAGGATCCAACGATCGATTGGTTGAAGTTAAAGTCTTAACTTTGAAACAATGTATATATAATACTTAATGTTGTTAGCTAGCTAATAAAGGTAATTATAGTGATCTATCTTTTTATATATAAATCATGAAAACAATTTAACAACTAATTTATTTAGTTCTTCGAACGTGTAATTAACTCCCATATCCTCTCACCAAAAACAATGTATTTATTGTTCTAGTTCCTAATTTAGCTAAGCTTTAATTTTATCCTTTTATTTTCCACCAAATTTGGTGATAATTATTGAACTATGGTTGAGGGTTTTGACACGTTTCTTTTTATTAGCAACACAATTTTAATATTTTGGTTTACCACTTAATTATGAGTTAGATTTTTGGCATTACAATTGGCTTTAATTTGTCGGTTTTGAATAATTTTTATTGGTTACTCGATCAATATCTGATATTTATATTTGAATTTGATTGATTCAGATGATACACAAATTTTATTTTGAGGAATACAATGCTCTCGCGTGTACAAACAGATCAAATGAGACAAAACTCTTCAATAATTCTTACTCATGATCTTCAAAGTAATAGTACCGAAAACACCTTTTAATTTACGTAAATTATTTGTTTTGTCTTTATATTATTCAGTCTTAAAAAAAGAAATACTTATTTCCTTGATTAACTTAATTTAAATATAACTTTGAGCTTGCCACATGAGTGAAATACGTTCATAAATTATCGTCAAATTTAGAATCATTTCAACACTTCTCATGAACCTTTTTTTAAGAGTCTCATGCTTTTACAAGAGTTTGAAATCACTTATTATGTCACATGACAAATACGGGGTGTATTTAAATTTAAATAGTCAAGTAGAAGAATATTTTTAAGACTATCAATAGTTTAGAGACGAAACTAAAAATTAATGCTAAATTGAGAAATATTTTCAATACTTATTTTAATACAATATAATAATGTACCAATGGGAAAATTTTGTATGTTTAAACTGCCTCATGCAATGGACGAGGCCTATAAGCAAAGTCTCCTAGTATTAACTACCTAGGATCTTTTTTAATAGTTAAAATAGTTTTCTACTATGATTTTGTTGTCTTGCATGCTTATGTATTTCATGCATGGGGATTTTCTTATATTTAAAACATCTAATACTTAATCTTTACTAAATCAGTAATATATCATGATCATCTAATTTACAAGTTTTTTTTCTTTTAAATTTTCCCACCCCCTGTGTATCCTTATTTCGTCTTGAGGTAAGTTAAAAAGAGAAGTACGTTGAAAACATCATAAAATTCTGTGTGAATTACTATTTTTATTTTCGAACTATTGACAGCCTCAGAAACACTCATTAACTTAACTTAAACACATCCGATCTTGTAACATGAGTGAAAGATACACCCCTAAATTCTCGTCAAATTTAATTTAAGAATGTTTTCAACATTTCTTTCAGCTTTTTAATAAGAGCTCCATGCTCCCGTATGACCACTTGCTATGTCATGTGACAGATTTGTGATGTATCTAAGTTTAGTTAGTCAAACAGAGAGATATTTTTACACTCTTTGAAGACGAAATTAATGATTTATATCGAATTGAGAGGTATTTTTAATATTCTCTATGAGTTAAAAGGCTAGCACAATGGGTAGAAATATCTAATTGACAATTTTTAAATTGTTAGAAAACATACATATTGTTTTACTTTAATATTATGTTTCAATAACTTGTCAAAATATTATTTCTCTTTTTAAGTTTTAAAGAAAAAATTGGCATATATCATCACAAAAATTAATAGTCGAGTAGTTTCATCAATCTAAGGCTCTTCCCTTTTAGGTGATGTCAAATTAAGTTAGGAATTTCTCCAAAAAAAAGTAATTAACACATTAATTTGACCTACAAATCTAATCATATCATTAATTTTTTAATGACAAATATTCAACTGACTGTAATTACTCAGTCATGATTATAAGATGTGTTGAGTGCATTATGATTAAAGTAATATTTAACACTAATCTAACTTATCTGTACGTAACAAGCATCATATATTACTTTACATGAATTTGGTTCATTTAAGTCAACTAATTAATGGATTAAAGAATTAATTACTTTTAAAATGGTATATTTTTCTTTTGTTCCTAAATTAAATGTACAAATTATATATACACTTTTAACATGTTATTAACATATAGGGGTCCACTAATAAATAAACTTTATGTAACATGCAAGTAAGAGTAGTGGATGGAGAAATTAGCTAATATACATCATTTACCTAACTAAAAAAAATGACATATCATCAAATTTTAATTAAATTAAGTAAAATGTCCTTTCATCTATATATAATTTGTGTTGGGAGGTCACAAAATTAGAATGCAACAATTCTAAAATCATATTTTTTAGAACTTAAAAGCAAAAGATATCTGTAGAAAGTACATAAACAAACTCAAAAAAACACACACACTAAGACAAAAATAAAATGGAGTCAAATTGGCTTCGAATTTTTGTCCTCTTGGCTTTTTGCTTCTTTCCAGTTTTTGGCATTACTCGTCATTACAAGTTCAATGTAAGTACTCCGTTTTCTCTGTTTCAATTTATTTATCATACTTTTCATGATCATGTTTGGTACGTCATTTTACGTATTATTAGTTTAAGATTACAATATTTAAAAGTTTCTTTACTTTGTTCTGCTCTGTGTCAAGTCAAAACCAGACAAATAAATTGAGTATTAATCGTTCGATTTTCTCGTACTTGTAGTTATCTAAGTTATTTTGGTTTTTTATTATACCACTATATAGATAGAGTGTCCAAATAGTTTTTTATTAAGAGTAAAGAATCTTCAACACGAATAAGTACAAGTAAGGTGGGCTAGATCGATATCAAGTCCAATAGTTTTTCTTTTTTTTTCAATTTCATTTTCTTATATTTATTGGTGTTATAGGTGGTAATGAAGAACATGAGTCGTCTATGTTCAAGCAAGCCTATTGTCACTATTAATGGAAGATTTCCAGGACCAACAATTTATGCTAGAGAAAATGATAGAGTACTAATCAAAGTAGTTAACCATGTCAAATATAATGTCTCAATCCATTGGTAAGTTAATTCATATTTTATACGAACGTGAACTATTGTCATTAAATTTAAATTTTGAATTCGTATCTGATTAACAGGCATGGTATTCGACAACTTAGAACTGGTTGGGCAGATGGACCAGCATATATCACACAATGTCCAATTCAACCAGGGCAAAATTATGTATACAATTTCACAATTACAGGCCAAAGGGGTACATTATTTTGGCATGCACATATTTTGTGGCTAAGAGCTACTGTCCATGGTGCAATTGTCATTTTGCCTAAACGTGGTGTGCCATATCCATTCCCTAAACCTAACCATGAAGCTGTGGTTGTTTTAGGTGAACATATTTACGCTAATCTATATACTTGTTTGAAACTATATTCTTACTCTTCTTTGTATTTCCGAGGATCTTTCATAAACTAAAGCAAATTAAGAGTCTTATTCGCCCTTTCAGTATATTATTTTGCTTGATTGCATATCTAGCTAATTAAAATGATGTCTTTCGTTGGAAAATTATAGAATAATTTTTTTAATGATGTAATGTAGGTGAATGGTGGAAATCTGATACTGAAGCTGTGGTTAATGAAGCTCTAAATTCAGGATTAGCCCCTAATGTTTCTGATGCTCACACAATTAATGGTCATCCTGGCCCAGTCCCCAATTGTCCGTCTGAAGGTAATACTTGTACATCGCTCCGTTTTAATTTATATGACAGTATTCGATCAGATATGAAATTATATAAAGCAAATAAAAGAGCTTTTGTTTCGTCATATATAAAAATTTATGGTCAATTTTGAACATATCAAAATGAGGTTTGAAATCTATAAAAATATGTCATTTTTCTCAACGTGCTATGAAGGAAAGATTTCATATGCCTTATACAAATAGATTATGTTTAGTTCACATTTTATGTGAACTTTTCGCACTTCTCATATTATTTCAGCTTTGAAAATTAGTCAAATTCATAACTGTCTGTCTTAGTAAGCACATAATATCACATAAATTTGATTGTTGGACCATATTATATGCAGGTGGATACACATTAAGTGTTGCTCCTGGTAAAACATACATGTTACGAGTGATAAACGCAGCACTCAACGAAGAGCTTTTTTTCAAAATTGCTGGTCACAAAATGACAGTAGTTGAAGTCGATGCTACTTACGTTAAACCCTTCAAATCGGACACAATTTTAATAGCCCCTGGCCAGACAACAAATGTCATACTCACAGCAGATCAAAAATTCGGAAAATACATGATGATTGCTTCTCCATTCATGGATTCACCAATTACGGTGGACAACGTGACAGCTACTGCCACGTTGCATTACACCGGGGCACTTTCTAGTGCCCCGATGACCCTCACTAGTGCCCCTCCACAAAACGCGACGTTAGTCGCGAACAACTTTATCGACTCTCTTAAAAGCCTTAATTCGAAGAAATACCCAGCTAAAGTACCGAATAATGTAGATCATTCGTTACTTTTTACAGTTGGGCTCGGGATTAACCCGTGCCCAACTTGTATCCCGGCTAATGGAAGCCGGGTTGTTGCTAGTATTAACAATGTTACGTTTGTTATGCCAACGACCGCGCTTTTACAAGCTCATTTCTTTGGCATAAAAAACGTTTTTACGACGGATTTCCCGGGAAATCCGCCGTTTATTTTCAACTATACGAGTACATTACCACCACCAAGTTTGGCTACGACGAACGGAACCAAACTTTACCGTCTGCGTTATGACGCGACGGTACAGTTGGTTTTGCAGGATACTGGAATTATAGCTCCTGAGAATCATCCGATTCATTTGCATGGTTTTAATTTCTTCGCAGTGGGTAAAGGTTTAGGGAATTTTAATCCGAAAATCGATACGAAGAATTTTAATCTTATCGATCCTGTTGAAAGGAATACAATTGGAGTTCCATCTGGAGGATGGGTTGCTATAAGATTCCGCGCTGATAATCCAGGTACGTTCTGATAACTTTTTGTGTTTCTCGAGTTTAATTTCTATGTACTAATGTTATTGAACGGATTGGAATTAGTTATGAACTTTGTTTGATGGTAGCTAATAAACCCAAGGTACAATTTGCTTTTTGGAGAGTTGAAATATTTGATTTTTGACCAATATTTTGAGATGATATTTTTTTGGTTATACTGATTAGAAAAATTAATAACTTATACTAAAATTTTTATTTAATTTTTAGATATCTTGATTCAATTTTAAAATAATTTAATCTAATTAACTCTAAAAATAAGTTAAAATGACAACTGAAAAGTGAAATGTCACAAATGTATTAAAATGAAAGGATTGTAATAATGTAGTAGGTTAGTGTTTGACTATGGAACTTTTTACGCTCTTTGTCAGAGTTGAATTCTGAAAAATACGTTTGCCCATAATATTTTGGAATTTGAGTTGAAGAATTTGAAAAATAACAACAGAATGTTCACTTTTTTTTACACCAAAATACTCATAAAAAGTCGAACAACTCCCAAGTGTATTCATGGTCAAACGCAATTGTTTAATTTTTAAATAGTTTTCTTTACTTTAAAAATAATTTTTATTAAATTTTACAATGAAACATGATGAAACGCGAGCTCTAACTTTTAATCCTGATCAATAATATTGCAGGAGTTTGGTTTATGCATTGCCATCTAGAGATACACACAACATGGGGATTGAAAATGGCATTTCTTGTAGATAATGGAAAGGGTCCAAATGAGTCACTTTTGCCACCTCCAAAGGATCTTCCAAAATGCTAAAAAAGAAAAAAGAAGAAGAAAATCCTCTAAAGGAGTACAGCAAAAGCTGCACCATGCAATGAGGAAAAAGAAGAATTAGAGAGTCAACAAACATTATATTCATTTTCTTGAGTGGAAAAAAGAAAAGGAAAAAAAGGGGAACTTTGCTCAAGCAAACCTCAATAATTATACAGATATGTTTGTGTTGTATACAATTTTTTGTTGTTGTTTTTGTTTGTTCAAGGAATTTTGAGAAATGGATTTTTCTTTCTGGTTTATTTTTACACACACTAAAGGGTAACTTATATTCGTTTTTAAATTTTTCCTTTTTAATATATATCTGCTTTGAACATTTAGAGTTTGAAGTTAGGCTTGACAAACAGACAAAAAAATTGTTAGACTTTATCATTTCGTTACTATAACTTAAGTTCAAGTAAGTAAAAATAACTGAACTTCAATATATGTGTTTGAACCTGATGATATGTATAAATCGCTCACATATTCTTCTGAATTATATGTATCCTCAAGATTAAATTGGAAAACAGTAGAAATATGGAAGAACATATGCAAAATTTTACAAACGACGTCGTCTTGTAGGTGAGTTTTGTATGAAACTGGTGCAATTGATCTTCCATTAGTATATAACTCAACAAATTCACATACTTGTCACATGTACAGTGATTGAAATGAATACTTAAACAGCACAACAGGCTAGGTATTTTAGGTCAATATTGCAAATCTGTTATAATTCCAGCAGCAGACTATTTGCTGGCTAATGTTTTACAATCTTCATCTAGATGTAAGCAATAAGAGATTCAGCACCTTCCTAAGCACAAAACTATACTTTTTTACAATAAATCTGAGAAATGTGTCACCTACAGTACTTCGGGTGCCTGGAGCCTACGCTTGAACAGCCATTGAAATGGTCTTGATAACTGTGCTCTCTTCTTCCTCCAGAACCAAATGGCTGCGTTGTACTGCTCATTACGAATTTTTCTTGTGGCAGCCCTCCAATCAAACTTCTCCATTTCTGTACGTGCAGCCCGACCAATAGTTTCTCTCAATTCAGCATTGTACAGAAGTGGCTCCAGTTTGCTCAAGCAGTCGTCAATATCCCCAGGATTATACAAATATCCAGTTTTTCCCTGATGATCATCTGGGATGATATCTGGAATTCCTCCAGCACGGGCAGCCAAAACAGGAAGTCCTGATGACATGGCCTCCAAAACGACGAATCCAAGTGTCTCTGACTCTGAAGGCATAACGAATATATCTCCACTGGCATATGCCTGAGAAAGTTCCTCCCCTAGTAACATACCTGTGAACACTACAGGCATGCCAGAGAACATTTTCTCCAATTCCTCCCTATAACAAGTGATGAAATAAATAATTTATAGCTCAATCTTTTATAAGAATGAAAAATTACATGTCTCATGTTAAGCATACAGGCTATCAACAACAATACCCAGTGTAATCCAACAAGTGGGGACTCGGGAGGGTGGTGTATGCAGCCTTATAAGCAATCAAGCATGCATTCTATCAAAACAGGATTTTTTTATAAACACCAATGCATTCTGATGTGCACATTATCAACAGATAGTATTTTAGAGTAGATTTTTCTCACACCCCAAACATGTCTCTTCGATAAGAGCGCTATTCATCTGAAGACAATTTTACTTCCAACCAATATTTTTACTTCTAAGATTTTCAGATTGTTTTACTTCCATAAAAAAAATGTACTTCTATGATTTCTGTGTCCAAGTCAGGGAGCACCTTTTTCGTTGAAAATTCCTCGTTCCCTTTTGTGTGAATGGCGGATTTCAATGATGAAGAGAAAGCTCTTATACTCTTTATTGGAAAGGGGATGGATATCTTATTGTAAGTTATTATGGAGGAACCTTTTCATAGAGAAGAGTGATAGGCTGGTTAAAGGAAGCTTGAAAACAAAAGGTGATGTCATTCATTCATAGCAGGAAAAAGCGGTCTCTCACTTGTATTATACGATTGTATCACTCAGTCCATTAGCTCCAAATGACCAATGTCCCAATCTTGTGGATCAAATCCAGTAGCTCTTGCCAAAGTAGAAAGTTTAATTTAGAGAAAGGATAGCTAATGTGATTTGACTTTTAAGACACCTCAAATTCCAAGGTTACAGTATGCATTATACCATCAGGTATAATAGAATATACTGGAGAATAAAAAATTCCAAGTCTGTCCATGTTGAGGGAATATATAACACGCTAGTTTATAGTATATATACATAGAGATATCTTGTCAACATAATAAATAACTCCAAGACTAATGATGGCAATGCATCACATATCTGCTGCAAATGGGAATGAAGTGAATAATTAGGGTACATATCGGCTTGCTAACAGATAATTAACTCCCGTCCATGCTCAACTAGCTAGCGCTAACCAAATGTCTGATAATGAAATGCAGTTCACTTTTCACTAAGTTCTCTGTACCATCTAACAGGTAACGAATGAAATGGGGTAATGCTTAGCTAAGAAACTCTACCAATAATTTAGCAACTCCTACACAACATATAAATGGTACTATTGTTATAAGTTCATCTTCTTTAGTAAAAAATTACCTGCTAAAGTGAAGTCAATAAAAGTTCAGTGGGATTATCAGGTAGCATAGTGAAATATAACTAGTGTCTAGACAATGACTCTTTTCACACGAGATCCTCACCGATAATTTATTATCATAGACTTGATTATCAGAAAGAGGGAGAGAAAAAGGAGACAAGACAGCTTATTGTGCATGATACTGTATATCAAATATCTTTTACAGTAAGTATAGGTAAATGATCCTGGAGGAGTTCAAAAAGTGAAATGCTAAATTGCTACTGCAACTCACCTATATGGCCCATCTCCAATGAATGCAATGCGAGCTTCGGGAAGTCTATCCATTAACCTGTTCCAAAGTCATTTTGAAATGCCATGTGCAAGTTACACCTTCATTCACTTTCATAGCCAAAAGTGCAAGTTTTATCCTTTCTCATTAACAAAGAGAGGCAATACCTTTTGAGGAAATCCAAATTCTTCTCGACTCCAAGTCGTCCAACATGGACTATCAATGGTTTATCAGGTTCCCCGTCACTGATCATGAAAAGTAACAGGAGAAATGAAAAATAATTATCAGTACACATTAAGGTTGTTTATATAGTGAATAGAATCTTCAGCGGGAAGCTCCCACCTCAGTCTTAGCCGCATTTCATGAGAACGATACCGGGGGTGGAAGCTCTCAGAATCAACACCCTTATTCCACAAACGTATTTTGTTAGCTGACAAATAGGAAAAGAGAGGAACAGTCAACAGCTCTGAGCAGAGCTTTAGCAGCAAAAAGAAGCTAACAGGAGTTCATATCTATGACCAACAAAAACTTTTCACCAAACAGAGAAGACAATACTGTTTTTAAATTAAATTGCTAATTGTAAAGTTCATGCCGTGGTGTAAGTAACAAGTACACCTGTCGGTCGTTTACCTGCTGTCACCCTATAAGCTTTCAGATCCTTCGCAATAGCAGCAGATGGCACCAACGTAAGATCAGCAGCTCTATGTAGAAACTCTGGTAAGCAGCAGTTATGTCTTAATTAGTATACAGAGCTGGAGACCTGAGAGAGAATAGATACTGCAGAAGAGAATGCTCTGCTCACATACTTATAATCATCCACATAGGTTGCACCAACCAACTAAAGGTATATCTAGGTATGTATCTGCAAAATAAGGGGCAAGATCAGTGTAGAGCCCTAAATTAATATAGAATGTAAGAGAATCTTCAGGAACTCATTCTCTATGTTATTCATCAGGAAGATCAACAGAGAAAACGTTTCGGCTTCTTGAATCATGTAACTTACAGAACCTATCAAATGTTCCCATCTGGAGACAAGATGTTCAAAAATGTGACTTACACAGGCACATGCGTGTGATAAGACATCACTATCGGCACAGATAACAGTTTTGCAATGATAAGAGCACCAAATACCTAACCATAAGATAAAGATTTATCTCTGTCAGCAAGCTGGGGGAAAAATTAGAACAACCTTAAGCTCCTTGAAGCTACAAGACGAACATCACTGCACCACTTAAAGGAGGAGCAAAAAGAAACTGAAAACTCACCATTATACCAGGAGATGATGCATGTATGATGTCGGGCTTGAATCGTGCTACTTCTGAAATTATTCTTGGGCTGAGGGCTAGTGACAGGGGCACCTTCTCGTACAAGGGGCAAGGAAAACTGCAGATGAAGAGAGAAAAATGTTTCTTTAACTAACTAGCCAAACACCACACATGGAGAATATTTCATAGTCATGCACCCTAAAATGCCGCTGATCTTTTTGCTGATATTGTAACAGATAGAATTGAGTGAATTCATTGAGTAAACACGAAAAAGAATATGGGAAAGGAAGTAGAATCTGCAACCTTCTTGATCCAATCAACTTTGCTCCATAAAACTCTTGAGGTACTCCTTCATGTGTTGTCACAACCATAACCTGTACCCCAAAAATAACAGAGGAGTATAAGTGGCCAAAGATCAGATGTACACTTCAATTCTTAGTTCATGTGGGAACTCACTCAACAGTCTGGCTGAACTATGGCTAAGAAGTATTACAGTAAGTCCCTATGAACTAAATGACTGTTAGAATAACTGTTTCTAGGCAAGTGCAGACAAAGAATCTCAAGATTGCTTGAAATTAGTTTAGGGGAACAGAACTAGTAGAGGTCAAGATAATGAACTCCTGATTGGCAAATAGCATCCTGAGAGAACTTGAAATGAATAAACAACTCAAACATATCAAATTTTTGGGTAGACACATGGTATAGCAGTAAACTCAGAAGGCCAAAATAACACCAACAGCTATCAGTTATCAACAACACTCTTGTCAGCTACGAGTATACCTCATCCCCCATTTCACGGAGATATCTTATAAAATTCTGGAACCGGTTCTTATAGCCAGATACATACCTGCACATTTCACAAAGGAAAATGGTGGTTATGTCAGAGTGTAAACTCAATTGAGCAAGAATTTTGTTTTTCTAGAAATGTCAATCTTTATTCTCTAAAATACTGATCGGAGCTGATCCAAAATTCACCATATAAGACATCGGAGTCCCCAGCTGAAAACATATCCGACTCCTAAGTGCCACTGAGCAATAAAGACAGCAAAATGTAATAGAAGTGGGTATTCTGCTCAAGTGTATCTGTAGTTAAAAGGCGTCTTATTGGACAGAGCTATATTTATTTTGCCAGATCAATATTCATTGACTTCCCAAAATACTATGAGGACCATTAAAGAAAGAATACAGAGATAACATAGATTAAAATGCAGCTCAAGAAAATAAAAAGAAAAAATTTAGGTTCCAATGCTGAAGTGGTAAACCAGTGCAACAAAACAAGATTTGAGATTGTGATTGACCATGCACATTGCTATAACTAACAAGAATGCGACTTTCCTTCAATAGCTACAGTTGTTAGAAAATCTTCATTCCTCCCTTTTAGGTCAAGGCTAAGCCTCAACATAAGTCCCTTTCCTACAAGCTATTCAAGGTCTATTGGCTCCAATTCTCATGTCTTACACATCAGAGATCTGTTCCAAAAGCAAATGTGGACAGATAGTTGATCAAGTGTACATTGCATAGGATGAAAAAGAGAAAGATTGCATTATCAAAATTCTTATGCTAAGAGTCCATTATCTACTACATTCTAGCATATAAGTGAAGATATGAAGGATCATTCAAAAAACATATGCGGAAAGGCATCAAGTACTTTTAACAGCAAAAGCTCCTTGGAAAATAGACAAGAATCATCAAAATTGCATAGCAGAGAAGATTGAGCATATGAGACAATTGAATTCGCATACATTGACAATACTGCTGCAAAAATGATACTCAATAACACAATGCCATTTTCATTATAGGCGAAACAAATGATTAGTTATCACATCACTAATATCTGTCAATATATATATATGAATAGGGAGAAAAGTAAGTCACAGAAGCTCAGAAGGGTTGAAGAAGAAATTAGACCTGATGGATCACTCAGTAGTCAACTCAACAAACAGAAAGAGCATAACAGTAAGCAGAACCAAAGTTAAGCAATTAACGCCAACAATGTTGCAGTTTAGGCTCAAACTATAAGACTATAAACGGGAAAAAAAATCACTCACGAAAAAGGAGAAGGCTCAACGAAGATAGCAATACGTCTAGGCTTCGAAGTCGTTTCAGATTCAACCAAAGGAGGAGGACCCTCTTCCTCTTCTTCCCTATATTCTTTACCTTTCATGTTGCTAGCTGCAATTAAGGGTCTTTTCTTGAAGGGTCTTTCCCTAAATCTCCTCTCACACTGCAAAAAATTGTCTTTTGTACAAATTAAGCTAATGGGGTTTGTTCTTGAAGTAGAAAAGTGAGAAAAATCATGAAAACTAGTAGGTACTGAAACAAAAGAAGAAGAAGAAGAAGAAGAGATGACAGGATTTATAAACAGAGAAGAAGCAGCCATGGTGAGTTATTTGGATAATGATGTTAAATATATTTGATTTGATTAGCTCAGTGAGCAGAGAAGTGTGAAATTTAGAAGATAGAGAGAAATTGAGGAGCCATGGAAGGGACTCCGGCAATGGATATTCTTATTTACACTAAGGAATATTTGGAGAGTATATGCCACAAGTTTCACAAGCCGCTAATAGATATATTATTGGGTCATTCTCAATTGACACATTTGGATTTTGTTGGCATGTGCAACATTTTTGTTGTGTTTTTTTTTTTCATTTTCGAAAATCTCTCTAGATAGTAATTTGTGAAAAAATACTATTTATATTGTTATTTGTTTTATTTGGCTATCGATGTTACTATCTTACATAACATAATAGTGATAGAATCAGAATTTTCATCAAGAGATTCAAAATATGAAAAGTAAACACACTCCACCCAGTCACATAAATAATTATTGTATCATTAATATTAACAAGGGTTCAATGACACTTTCTTGTTGTCTTTCAGTTTAGTTTGAATAGATTCGATCTATTCATTTAAAAAATTATATGGCTCAACTCGATTTCAATAAAAGCTCGATCTAATCCAATTCAATTTCTATCAAAACTCGACCTAGTTCAACTTGATTAGATTAAATTTTGATAAAGTTTGACTCGGTCTATTCGAAGTCTATTCAAACTTCATCGAATTTGTACATAACATGTAACTTTGTGCACACCCCTTCCTATGCAAAAACACTAGTACCTTCTATTGTTCTTTTCTATTAAAAATAAAAAAGAGACAAGTTGCGCAGATACTTCATTTTTGATGTCGCATTCGTATTGGATTCTCCAAGAATACACAAGTTTTGTCAAATCTAACGCATAACCCTTGATATTTTTGAAGAGTCCGAGCAACATAGATAGAGGGTAGCAGCATATTTTGAATTCAAAACAGACTCATAATTAGTTAGTAAAAGTAGAAGTTTGACTCCATTTTGCAACAAAGGAAAGAAGCAGTTTTAGTCTATAAGTGGTTATCCAACAAAGTTGCATTAAATAGCATTTATACATATTAGTTGGACACCCCATAAGAGGCTTGAAAATCTATTGTACAATAAAAAAAGACAATTTTCAAGAATAGCAACTAGTCTAACTTGTTTTCTTTTTATTAGTATTAGACAAATGAAGCTTCTGTTATACTTGCATCTCTCAATCATTGTTATGTCCATTGCAATCTCAAGTTGTGAATCAAATGATCTATTAGCATTGCAAGACTTGAAAAACAGGATAACAGATGATCCACTCCACGTCATGGCTTTTTGGAATGATCATTCTTCACATTTCTGCAACTGGACTGGTGTAACATGTAGTCCTTATAATGACAGAGTTATCAATCTTGATTTGAGTTCACGAAAACTCGTTGGAACCATACCGTCTTCCATTGGCAATCTCAGCTTCCTAACAGGTCTACATCTTGAAAACAATAGCTTCCATGGTGAAATTCCTCAAGCAATAGGTCTCTTGCTGCAGCTTGAACATCTCAATCTTAGTTCAAATTCTTTTAGTGGAAAAATTCCGACAACTAACTTGTTGTAAGGAGCTTTGAGTACTTGATTTACGAGCTAATTATCTTGTTGGAAGAATTGTGGATCAACTTAGTTCATTGACAAAGTTGAACTTCTTAAGACTTAAGAGCAACTCTTTCACTGGAGGCATCTCGCGTTGGATAGGAAACTTTTCGCCTTTAAAGTACCTTGACATTTCGAGTAATAGTTTAAAAGGACCAATACCTCAGGATGTTGGATGTCTAGTGAGTTTGGAAGTATTTGAAGATTCAATCAATCACGAATGCTTCTAGGCTTCACGTGATTGATTTTTCCCAAAATGGACTTACTGGGGATGTGCCATATAGTATAGGAAAACTGAAAAGTTTGGTTAGGCTCAACTTGAAGGTCAGGTTCCAAATGAAGGGATCTTTTGCAAATACAAGCGCATTTTCAATCAACGGAAACAATAGGCTTTGTGGTGGTGTACCCAACTTACATTTGTCTGAATGCTCTAAAGCTACCAAGCACCTTGATTCAAGAGTACTGCTAGCTGTTATAGTTACTCTTGCATTATCAGTTTTGGTGCTATGTTCCTGTGCTGCTTATTACAAACTCAGCAACTCAACAAAGGCACAACCTTGGAATGCTGAGCAACTGTTTGAGATACCAAGAACTACATATCGAGCAATACATAGAGCGACAGATGGATTCTCTGATGCCAACTTGGTTAGTAGAGGAAGATTTGGTTCAGTATACAAAGCACATTTGATGTTGACAATACAATAATGGCAGTGAAAGTGTTGAACCTACATCAAAGAGGTGCCTTGAGGAGCTTCCTGGATGAATGCAGAACGTTGAGTACTATTAGGCATCGTAATCTTCTCAAAATTAAGACTGCTTGTTCGAGCATTGATCACCAAGGTAATGACTTCAAATGCGGTAGTTTTTGAGTACATGACTAATGGAAACCTACATGATTGGTAGCATACAGAAAATGATGATCAGCAACACCAAACAAAGAAGCTGAGTTTCATCCAAAGACTAAACATCGCCATAGATGTTGCTTCTGCTCTTGACTATCTCCACAACCACTGCCAAACACCAACAGCTCACTGTGATCTTAAGCCAAGCAACATACTCCTCGACGAAGACATGTCTGCACATGTTGGTGACTTTGGATTAGCAACATTTCTGTTTGACACATCGAGTAGCAATTCTCAGAGTCCTGCAGCATTAAAGGGCTCTATAGGTTACATCCCAACAGGTACAACAATGTCATTAGTTTACATTTCATATACGATTAATACATATATCATCCTAATTGTGTACCTCACAGAGTATGGATCAGGTGGTCAAGCATCCACATTTGGAGATGTTTACAGCTATTGCTAGAGTTATTCATCAGTAGAAAACCAACTGACGCGATGTTTAACGAGAGTCTAAACATTCACAAGTATGTTTCAATGGCTTTGCCTGAACATGTCATGGAGACTGAAGATCCCTCATTGCTCTTGACAGAGGAAGAACAATACATCAATCAAGATGAAGCAACAACAATGGAAGAATGTTTAGTCTCAGTTCTGAAAATTGGGCTTACATGTTCTGCATCATCACCAACAGATAGAATGCCAATAGATACTGTTTTGAACAAACTTCAAGCAATCAACAAGCCCTTCATTACAAGTAGATTATAACAAAACTCTCAACCTTCGCACTCTGTCCCAATTTGTTTGCATTACTTTTCTTTTTAGTCCTTTAAAAAAGAACGGTTTTTTTTTAGCAATTCTTTAATATCAACTTTAATTTCAATCTCATATCATAAGACCACACGATCAATTAACATTTTAGTGTATTGATTTAGTGAAGTATAACTAGAAATAGTGTATAGTCATATTAATTAATAGTAATAATATTTTTTATATGATTTTATTTGTTGAATATATATTGTTATTATAATGATATGACTAAGGACCCCATAAGTTTTGAATCAAGAAAATGACCTTTTTTATATATTTTTTGTCGTTAGTTTGAAATTAAGGAAATGACCTTCACTGAAGAAGATTGATTAGTGAGTAATTAAAGATTTATCAATTAAGGCTCTCACTAATTCAGGGTAGTATTTTGATTTTTGAGGATGAAAATAGACAGTTAACCACAGAATTTATTTGGACTAAAAATTCCTTTATATTTCATGTTTCAATTATGAGAGACATGGTTTAATGTATTTGTCCCATATTTATTACTTCCTCTGTTTTAATTCATTTTGACTTAACATAAAAATTTTACTTTTTAATTTTGACATAACACAAAAATTTTCAAAAGTAAAGATTTCTTTTTAAGTTTCGATACTCGATAGTATTCCTTCCATTCAACTATAGTTATTTATTATATTATTTTGAGATGTCTAACAATATTACTTGTCCCATTTATTAAATTAATGAATATTTTTATATTTAGTTGTTCATTAGTCATTCTCTACGCAAAAGAACAAACTCTATTATTGTGTCATTTTTTTGTATGCTAACATACTTAAATAATACTCATATTTTAAAAATATGTCTCCATATCCTGATTAATATTTTATTTTGTGTTAAACTCTACTTATACGATTACATTGAATATATTGTTAGAATACTTTACTTTTACTTTTGTATCATAAGAAATTAAACTCTCAACTATTTTAGAATGAAAAGGCAATTTCATAGTGCTGCTATTCGTTTTTTTCTATAAACAAGAGGAATTATTCAGGCTAGTATTTTGAGGATGAAAATATAAATTATTGTTTCATTATTTCTTTTCTGCTAACGTAACGTACTTGTGTGATTACATGTGGTATGTTGATGATCGTGATGTCCGGGAAGGTCTTCGCCCACCTCGACTTATTCCACGTGATATCTGTCACCTTCCAACAATAACAGGTACCAAGTAACTCTATCCACAAAACTAGAACAGACGAGAATAATCACCTAGTGTTATGTCTCTGCTGGGATTTAAACTTGAGAGACCTCATAACTCTCAAAATCATTTTATTCACCGCTAGGTTATACCCTTGAGGTGATGCTAGTCATTATTTTTTTATGACCATAGTATTTGGATCAGCTTTCACGCAACTCGACTAATATCACGAGATACTTGCCACCTGTCACCTTCCACCAATATACCAAGTTACACTGTCCACTAAGGCTAGTACAAATGAAAAGAATCACCTAATATTTTATTTTTTTATCTCTATTGAATTTTGAACGTGAGACCTCATAATTCTCACCTAGTCGATATTACGTTCAGCAAACAAGGACATTGATGATCTCATACATGAAAAGGAATCTGTCAAACGAAAAGAAAAATTCAAAAAATGTGACGTTAGTTTTGTGCTAAAATTAGCCTATTCATGAAAACTTGACTGGCACAACAATATGCAACAAGCTAAGCTAATTGGTAAAAGATTTTGTCACTCTCAGTCTGTCCAACAAATTTGCATTTATTAGCATTTATACATGTTAGTTGGAACTTGAAAGAGCCCTGTAAATTATTGCATGATTCACATTATTATAAGAAAAGGAAAGCTTACATTCTTTCTTCTTATAAGTTAAAAACAGCAATTAGCTAGTCTCTAAAAAAATTCAGGACAAATGAGGCAGTGGTATCTAACATCCAATTCCAAATGGCTTTTGTTGTTATACTTCCAGTACTCAATTATTGTTATGTCCATTGCAATATCAGGTCTCGAATCGACTGATCAATTAGCATTACAAGACTTGAAAAGCAGAATAACAGAGGATCCACTTCATGTCATGGCTTCTTGGAATGATCATTCTTCCCATTTCTGCAACTGGACTGGTGTAACATGTAGTCCAGGAAATGGAAGAGTTACGTTTCTTGATTTGAGTTCACGACAACTTGCTGGAACCATACCGTCTTCCATGGGTAATCTCAGTTTCCTTACAGGTATTGATCTTGGAAACAATAGTTTCCGCGGTGAAATTCCTCAAGCTATAGGCCGCCTGTTGCAGCTACAACATTTAAATGCTAGTTACAATTATTTTAGTGGGAAAATTCCTACTAATTTAACTTACTGTAAGGAACTAAGAGTACTTGATCTACAATTTAATGAACTTGTTGGGAAAATTGTGGATCAACTAAGTTCATTGTCGAAGCTGTATTTGTTTAAACTGAAAAGGAACTCACTCGGAGGAAACATCCCCCGTTGGTTAGGGAACTTTTCATCTTTAGAGTTTTTTGACATTTCGGGTAATAGTCTACAAGGACCAATACCTGAGGAACTTGGGCGTCTAACGAAGTTGTTAGTGTTTCATGTGAACTCTAACGAACTATCTGGTACAATCCCTCCATCGATTCTCAATATTTCCTCCATATACTATTTCTCTGCTACACAAAATATACTGCATGGACAACTTCCAGCAGATGTAGGCCTCACTCTTCCAAACCTTGAAGTATTTGCTGGTGCTGTCAACAGCTTTACCGGACCTATTCCTGTTTCACTAGCTAATGCTTCTAAGCTTCGCGTGATTGATTTTTCCCAAAATAAACTTACTGGGGATGTGCCAACTAGTTTTGGAAAGTTGGAAACGTTGGTTAGGCTTAACTTTGAGGCGAATAGACTAGGTGGGAGGGGAAGTTATGAGGGCTTGAAATTTCTTGATTCCCTAACTAATTGTACACATCTGATGGTACTGAGTTTCGCCACCAATAACTTTAGGGGAGAATTGCCTTACTCAATCACTAATCTTTCAACTGTACTTGAGATTTTCTCTCTAGGTCAAAATAGGCTGCATGGTACTCTTCCAGCTGGAATAGACAACCTGATTAGTTTGACGCTACTAGGAATGGACGGAAACTACCTCAATGGGAGTGTGCCTGAATCTATAGGTAAGCTTGAATATCTTGAACGTCTCTATTTGAACGGAAATGCATTTTCTGGGAAGATACCATCCTCTATTGGTAACTTGTCATTGTTAAATACTCTAAATCTGGACGAAAATAGACTAGAAGGAAGCATACCTCCGGAGTTGGGGAAGTGTAAGTTCTTGTCAACGTTAAACCTTACCAGAAATAATCTCGTTGGCTCCATACCAAAAGAGGTTGCAGGATTATCTTCCCTTTCAATTTCTTTATCATTGGGAAGTAATTCTTTGACTGGATCCCTGCCAAAAGAACTTGATCAGTTGATAAATCTCGAGGAATTGGATTTATCACAGAACAAGATATCTGGTGAGATTCCAAGCACCCTCAGCAATTGCCTCCACTTAGAGCGTGTATATATTAGTAATAATCTCTTACAAGGAACCATTCCTCAATCCTTTATGAGTTTAAAAGGATTGGAAGAGATAGATTTTTCGCGGAACAACTTGTCAGGGGAAATACCTGAGTTTCTTGGGGAACTTTCATATCTCAGAAAACTGGACCTTTCATTCAATGAATTTGAAGGTGAGGTGCCAAATGAAGGGGTCTTTTCCAATACAAGTGCAATTTCAATCAAAGGAAACAGGAAACTTTGTGGAGGTGTCTCCGACTTGCATTTGCCTGAATGCTCCAAAGCTCCGAAGCACCTTAATTCAAGAGTGTGGATAGCTGTTAGTGTTCCTGTTGCACTCTTAGCTTTGGTGCTATGTTGTTGTGGTGGTTATTACAGGATCAGAAACTCAAGAAAGGCACACCCTTGGATCGAACAGCTAGCCCAGATACCAAGAACTACATATCGAGAAATACTTAGAGCAACGGATGGTTTCTCTGAGGCTAACTTGGTAGGTACAGGAAGTTTTGGTTCA